ATGGTATACCAAATACTGCAAAACCCAAGCGATTCGTGTCACCCGTTTCTGAAATTATCACCCAAAGTTCATCTTAGAGGACATCCATTCAAAGTAGTGGTCTCAGAATGCCGCTTGGAATGCCGGCGTCCGTCATTTGCAGTCAGAGTGTGTTTGATCTGGTACTCTCTCACATCCTACGTCGTCTGTGATCCAAGCATTGAGTCTTTCAAACTGAGGCTCGATGAAACATTAGCGCAACTTAAATTCCAACATAAGTGAAACTGCGTGCAGCAGTGGAAGAAGCACGTATCATATTAAACTTTACACAAAAAATTGTATGTATCACTCTTTGGTAATCACCGCACGAACCTATGGGACGAGAAAAGCATGAGCTTGTAAGTTAATCCCATAATGAATCTTTGATCTTTGGAGTCAAGTTGTTGAGGCTTGGCCTCTTAATGATCGGCCGTGTTTCCCAAGTTCCGTTATCTGTTCTGATTGGCAATATGTGTAATGCTCAAATCGATGTGTGCGTGAAGTTTGTAGATAATCCTCTATCTGATTGCACGCATCCTTTACACGTTGACCCGTGTGTATGCATGCATGCATATTTTTTGTTGTGACTGCTTGTATCTCACAGGACTCTTTTGGTTCATGGAATTTTATTTGCTTTGCCTTGCACGGTTATCTTTAACCCTGACCCACGGAAGCCCCGTCTGCCAGTGTTTCCTCGCCACCCTATGTCCCGCATCCCTACTGCCGTTCCCCGCCTTCGCTTGTCCATCGCAAAACTTCGTATCGTCTCCCTCTGCGAGAATAAGAGCCAAAAGAGGTATCCTGTCTCTCAACTCCGTTCACCACGCTGCACTGCGAGAGTCCGGAGTACGTTCGCATTGCAGATGCACATTGACTTTGGAAGGACGTCAATGAGTGCCCGTTTTTAATCCGCTGAATGTGATACCGGTTTTTCCCTGTTTGAAATGCATTCCTTTTTCTGAAGATCAATTAAACCGCTACAAAATAACCAAAGTCTGATAACAACTACCTAGCAACTGCTGTTACTGATGCCAATGAGAACGACTGTCATGGGATAGTTTTCCTACTAACCAGGATTTGTTTATTATTACTTTTCTATAAAATCCGATCTACATTATTTGTGATATTGGAAAAGGGTCAAACAACTTTGTGGTGAGAACATATACATATGGATTGTAATATAAAATCAAATTTAGCTCGTTGGCTAAATTGAAGTTTGTGCATACCGATAAATTTTGAAGGACAGTCAGTACAACTCGGAATATATGTGCATATAGATTGCATGATTGTAGGAAATTTTATTCATTGTCATCTACCACGCTAATGCTTTTAAAGTCTCTTTGAAATTCCGTTTCCACCACACCCGGATGCAGACTGACCACGGTGACATTGGTTCCCTCCAGGCGTTTGCTCAGTTCCACCGCATGCATCACATTGGCCAATTTCGAAGAGTTGTATACGGACAACTGACCATAGTTTTCTTCCGTTGGCTGCAAATCCGGTTTGTACAACTGGCCATAATAATGAACCATGGACGATACAATAATGATACGCGATGGTGAGCCGGCCGCTTTCAACGCGGGCAACATGAGTTCGGTGAGAAGAAAATGACCCAGATGATTCACACCGATTACCTGTTCGAATCCGTCTTTTGTGGTCGAGAATTTGTCCAATGACAAACCGGCATTGTTGATGAGATAGTGTATTTTTGGATATTTTTCCAACACTCGGGTTGCGAACTCTCGCACCGAGTCCAACGATCCGAGGTCTAACTGTTCAATAAGCAACTGGAAAACCACGGAGACAAGTATCATGGAGGTTCGTCAGATTTTGCGTTGTAATCGTGGAAGCTCATATTATGTATACATTCTTTGCATGCGCTTCCGTAATTACCGACGTTCTTCACCGGTTGAAGCCTTCGCATTCAGTTGTTTAAACATTGATATTCATTGTCACCACTGGACGAGAGGTGAATGTGTGGATTCCATGGCCTTGCCGAGTGATATATATCTCAAGGTAGACTAGGTCGACGCAAATCCAGTCAATTCTAATCAGTGCTTATGCGAGCGAAGGCGCCTATCAGATCACTCCTTGCATAATATCGCATGCTACCAACATCACCAACAATAACTTTCGGGATGAATGCGTGGTATGAATGCCGTAGAGAGAGAGAGAGTTATTGTACGAATCTTTCTGAGTTGTAATTTCTCATATTCATTATTGATCGTGAAGTTGGCACGGTGTTATTTGTGCAGATGTAGAAATAGTAAGGCTTGTTGGAACGGAATGGACTTCAAACTTATGTTTTGGGAGTTGCTTTGTGTTTTTGTGGCCCTATAGGAATGTGATCCTCCATACGGATGTGTAAAACGATGTACTATCCCGTAATCATGATCTTAGTGTGGGGAAATTTGACAAGATGAAGCACAAGAGGAGAATATTAACTGCCTGTCACTTTTGAATTATCACGTCAGTTGGGGAAAACCTAAACCGAAGGCCCTGACTCGCAGCCAATTTAGAGAAGTGTAAGAATAGAGTTTGTACACTGAAACGGGAAGCTGTTGATTTTTGCATATTTCTTTGGGTCCGTGCGGTGTGGGTTATGAGATATTGTATAATGTATTGTATAATGACAATCAGTTACCAGCTGTTCAAATCTTTATCGAGGAGAAAGCATTGCGTAAATAATTTATGCCCAATAGAATACAAGTTCGAAACCCATTCTCCACCATAACCGTACGCCATAAATCACCGGGGCCGCTTGCAGGAAATTGCGATGGGGATTATTCGTATTAAATGGCATCAGAAGCGCTCGAGGACAAAACAGAGAAGGCTTTCAACTCTGACGATGTCTACCATCGTGATTTGTTGAGAAGTAAAGGCCTGGTATATGATAAGTTTGGTTGACCTATTTCGTATTTTTCAGACTCTGTAATTAATCTGACAGTGGGCGGCTGGAAGTGTGAGCAATTACTTTTCCGTCTCGCATTCGCTGGCAACATGAATCAATAAAATAAAGAAAAAGAGACAAATGTGAATAACGTTGTTACCCACATAAGTAGGCATGTATTTATGTGTTCATGGTCGGTAAATTACCGATACGTTTTCCCCTGTTTCACTGTCCCACTTACTTTTTTGGCCTACAAAATATTATCTACTTGGATAGTGAATCCGATAACAAAATCGAGCTTATTTTCCAAGTCCACCGGATGGTTCACTCAGTGGTTTAATGGTATCCCTATCATTAATAACCGCAATCTTTTTTCCACTGTTTCTCCATAACCAAATCAATCAATGTGACCCCCTTTCGATATGATGATAATGACGACGATGATGGCGATGAAGATGATGATGATAGTGATCATCTAGGTAAGTTTCATTCCTGTATGGATAGTTTGAGTGCTAGTGTAGTCATGTTCCGTATGAGCTTCTCGCCAACAAATTGTAAAACGATCCTACAAGATTGGGTTGGTCCAGCCCTTAAATTCACTCTAACTGCGGAAGTAGTAAAGGAAGTAGACAAATTTTACTATTTGAGCAGTTATATTTTACTTAGTGGACTCGTCACTGATGAAGTGTCGGCACGCATATTGAAGGCTTGATTTTAATTTTGCCAACTTGAGAAATCTTCAACACCCTCACGAAAAACAGCTGCCTGTAAACGGTTGAGTGTATGCGGCAGTAGTTAGGCCAGTCCTGCTCCACGGTGCAGAAAATTGATCACCTCGGGAAGACGACACTAATGGATGTCATTGCTCGAACACCGCTGTCTACGTCAAATTGCACGGGAATGGTGAGAAAAACGGGAGATCAACGCTGGAGTTCGAGCAAAATTTTAGGTTGACCTCCGTAAACTGCAGCGTTCGGGACGTGTATTTATCATCTCACCAAATAGATTACCACGATAAGTGATGTTTGCCGGCATAGGTAACGGATGTAAAACGAGCAAGGGCGATCAAACTAAGAATTGGACTGAATGTATAAAAAGCCCACACTGGGTCATATAAGTCACGATAGGCTTCGTGCATGGGGACCATGAAATTATGGTTACCGATGGTTAGAAACGCTCCGTGATATGGCCTAGTGTCGCAAACAGTAGCTCTCGTGCATCTACTTAATATTCTTACAACCAAAAGATTTTCTTGTATCGTTTGCTAAGTTTTATTCGAACTTTGCCTCTCTGTTCGTCTAGTTTGTATAATTGGTTGGGTTAGAATCGGTCATAAAGGTGCCATATGATGGATTGTTTTCACACAATAACTTGGTAATCCCACATCTTTGATTACTTACCGAATCAATGTCACGTAATTGCTTATTACATACATGAACGGAACGAATAATAATTGCATAGGCCGAGCGTGAGATCACATCCCTCATCGTGGATCATCCTTGAATCATGTGTTTTGATGATCGGTCAAGATTTTGGACTGCAAAAGCTTAAACATTCAGTAAAGTTTTGTCGGTATGACATAACTCAATGTAGGTCAGACGATTCATATTCAGCATTTCATAAATTTTACCATGCACCTGTGTTAGGATCATCCGCTACCACATAACACTGAGCCGTGTTCCCTTGTGCATAGTAAAATACATGACACAATATGAAGGAACAAAGCACAAGCTGTGAAAAACGAATCCGCTTATATCAAATACAGTGTCATTCTTAATAGAATATTACATCTCGTAGTGAGCTCTATCTTATGAGCGAATTTGCTTTCCTTATAATCAACACTTTTGAAATGCATGCAATTTGTGTCCTTCAATGGTCATAAATCCCATTACCGACAAACCACACTGTAACTGAAGAATAACACAACGACTCACTTGGTTGGCTTCAATAGGTTTCAACGAAAAAGCCACTGCCGGATCCGCTACATCTTTTTTCATCCAATCCGGGTTCGTTGCATTGAAGCTGGGCTGTTATTTGCTGCAAACTACATCCACCTATAGGTCAACTGTGGACTACTTGTTTACCTGGACATCGATCGATATCTAGTCATATCAATATCGACTACGGTTGGTCAGCGGGTCTACCCATGCATAGTCATAGTCACATTTATGTTTACCTGTTATGTACAATGCATTGGTTGGTTTTCCTAACCAACATCTGAGTCGACTGGGAAAATGTCATTGGTGTATGTAGATAAGTGTTTCACATGTTCGTATAACTTCACGTTCAAGCAGTTTGTTGCGTAATGCGCATTCTCTACCGTGAGTTCTACTGATTAGATTTATTGTTTTGCGTGAACATATCACCAATCGGTGAAAAACCCTTGTGTAACTGCTGTATTGTTATTCGTGGTAACTGACTATGTGTTGTTTACACCTAAGAGCGTTCATTTCGTAGACTGTGTCATGTTGTTTGAGGCCAGTCTAGAACATTTCATGTGAATCGATTTCCAACCTCGATCTCATAACGATTGTGCCTTATTGTTCGGGAGCTATGCGTCAAGGTATTGGGCAGTCGGTAAATGATTTTATGTGATATGGAAGTTTCCAACTAACCCAAACCTCGAAAAATAGACGTCATCCGCCTAATTACTTGGCCCATAATCCATCATTAGGAATAGTGACTGTAACATCTTTGGCGATTTCAACGGAATGTTTCCTAATTCTGGTGAATGGGAATTACATCGATAAATCTATGGGTCGAACAGCTGCTACAGTTGAGGACGGTTTAGTCAATGCTTTGACATCATCAATTCGCTTCACGTACCTCGTTGTTCAATTAGGTGAGATGCACTAGATAATTTGTTAGACACAACTACATAACAAATCTATGACAGAATAGATTGAATGAAACCAGCTGGAGAACATGCGCTGAAAGTTTGAGTGACGTTTTTGCCATGAGACTGGCTGCCGCTTCACGACCACATTTCGGATGACGTGTCTGATTAAACGAGCTGATCAACTTAATACACGAACTGAGTGAGGATTAGGTTTGCTGAGATTTCGTGACTGACCTTTAATCGAGTGCGGTTTGAACAGACTGTTGTGTCCACATATTATCTGGATGCATTTTCCCGGGGTCAGTTCTGTTCTCATTAACTTCTTCCTTGAATGAGACCCTTTGACTTTCACCGTCAGTAGCATTCGTGAGTATTTTTCTGGTAATTTGTTTCGGGGGTTGCGATTGGTTGAACTATAAATGTTTGATAAAAAATGACCAGCAAATTTGTTATGTAGGGACCCAGATAAGCATCGTACCATAGTTTCTACGCTGTTGAAACTCGACGGAATGCCTTAAAATCGTTAGAGTTTATCCGATCACAGAGCCCTATTCGCCGAAAGTTTTCACGTTTAAAACTGTAATTCCTATCTAGAAGTTGCCTCCTCGTGTCCAGATAGAAATACAAGTAGTAACTTTGTGTGTGTGTGTGTGTGTGTGTGTGTGTGTGCAAACAAGAATCAACTAGTTTTCCAGTGTTACTGTTATTGTTACCCATCCCACAATAATTCCATCGAGAGGACACACTTGACATCGGTGTTTGTAACCAATCCCAACTCTATGTGATCTGTACACTCGTTTTCAAAATATGTCTGTCTAAACAATGATACGTAGCTTAACGTTTCGAATCATTGCCAGTTTACCTGTCATTCATTATTGTATCATTATATATCCGTAGGAATCGGAGTAGTTATGGATTGCAGATCACGAATCACATTGGCAAATGGAGCACAGAATCGCACTAGCAATCATATGCTGGAATAAAAATATCGCTGGTCAAACGTATATCAATCAAACACCGTTCCTTTTCTTCGAGTCCCATACCTGGTTGCACCGTCTGTATGTTGATTGAGCAGTACTGATGACCCATGACTCGATGTCGACAAACTGTCACGTATAGGCGCTTGGCTGGTATCATCTCCTGAGGTTTATTAACCACAATGGCTTTCGTGCTTTCACATGACCTTATGATAATCCAGGTATTGTCGTTGAATGCAGTTGGTTAGTGATTCATTTTTGTCAAGAAACACCACTCACCTCGAAAAGGAAGTCTGTCAAAATAACCTAATGAACATTTTCCTATGAAAATATCTCAACCTCAGTGATACATATTCCATGAATCTGACATTCAAACCTTGGAATACTTCTGTTGTAGGTGAACGCCTAAGCGCTTTAGTTCTCCTGTTAGACAAAATTTAAAATTGATCGTTCAGAATTTAACTACCACGTACTATATCATCTAGATGGAGTTAGAAAAACAATGCAGTTCGAAAAAAACTTCATGCGGATTTGTGATGCGCTTCACGTTGATGACCATCGGAATCAGTTCACCAAGTCCGTGCTACAAGAACGATTGGTTTGACGATCACCAACCGATTTGCACAGTTCAGCACGGAGTGTTAAAGAAAAAGAACAATTCGTTTTACTACTCATGAGTAGTCCAGCACCATTTACGATATTTTGTCATTTGTCGAAGTTAGCTGCTCCTGGCCGCAGATCGCGGAATATGATCCAATCGAATCACAGAAAGAGTCGGAGGGAATTTACTTGTTTAAGGTCACGAGTGAAAGGGACGAGACGATGGTGCACGATGGAGAAATCGCACTGTATTTGTTCTGTCTAAACTTAATAGGCGAGTACAGTCAGTCGCGAAATTTCGAACACTCCTGTCGGTCGAAGAGGTCTTATACACTGCGCTTAGGATGAACGAAGTTTAGGTAGTGACCGGTGTTGACCATTCCAAGGTTACCATCTCACGCAGCGATGAGGCCAATAGTGATCTATCGTAATTTGTGTTTTTGTACCCCACCACCACCACCACCACCCTTCAGATTCTGTGTCCCCGTGTTCTATACGCGGAAATGTTTAACTTTGAAATTGACGGAACTATTCGCGTAGTGTCCTATAGGCTTTTTAAAATAATACTGACGTTTGCGAAATAGTGGTTTTATTCTTTGGACCGAGCAATTTTATCAATTTGAGGTACATTTTGTGGAGAAAATCAGAGCATAAACAGCGATAACGAGAAAAATACGAACAACAAAATCAATTACTTGCTGGCACATACACATGCACGCACGTTTCACTACTTTGTAAGTCCGACAAGTTCACACGATTTCTCCCAAAACCACTTGCGTTCTTGTTCGTTGTTGACCAAGGAATTCGGCTCTTTCAGTGCACAATTTGAGTAGTACCCTCCTGGGGTTAGGTTTTCAGCCAACACTGTGTACAGGGTCGTCTGCGCACCATCCCAAGCGGTAAGTGAAAACGGTTTGATAACGGCGTGCATCAAACGCTTTTTGGTTTGTTCGGAGTGTATGGGTAGGAATATGAAAAAAGATTCGAAAGGAAACGATCAATATGGATTTGCCATGATCTTGAAAATTCCAAAAATATGTATGAAAATCCATTCAATAGATGGAAGCTAGAATAAAGCTCAAGGTTGGCAAATGCTCAACATTCAAAAAGGTTTCGCTGGTTTATGGATTATGTTGCTCTGCCTCCTCGTAACATTTCGCTTTGGTTTAACAAACTAATAACCACTCAAAGCGTAAAGAGCTCCTGGACGTTTATTATAAGCATAGTGACATCGCAAACAAAATAAGCTGAAATTTTTGTGAGGTCTGTCCTCTTTTCGATGGTTGTGTGAACATTCATGGCTTTCATATTGAGTTGCTGTTTCATCCTCTCTCCCCGATGTATTAGATAGAACAGTTCTTCCATCTACCGAATAATTTTGATGCGATTCCCATGGTCAGGCTAAAAATGGTCCTCTTTGCTCAACCCGATTAGTTGAACCCGAGTAGAGTTTATACATATCCCCATCAGTGAGTTTCAATATCAACCTCAAGCATCATCTGATAAAAAACAACTGTCTAGATAGATGTCTGTGAAATGAAGGAACGCAAGGGTGCGTCGTGATGAAATTGGCGGGTAAGTGACGAAGAAACCAAGATTTTATTGATAGAACGAACGATATCACTTCCACGCTGGGTAAGTTGATCGGGTGCATTGATAGGAGGACACTTTGATTCGTGGAGCCCTGCATATCTAATCCAGCTTATAAAACGCCTGCCTACAGAGCGTCAAATAATGTTTGTATCTTAATTGTTTTTCCTCAACGTCTTGTGGTATACGGAATTTCAGCAAATAGACCGTGCCATATTCACACCTTCAACTTCCATTCTCAGCCATATCTATCAGCGTTTCTAACTAACGATCAACCTCATCGGTTGGTCCACAATCTGAAAGACAAGCTGCCGCAGGGCTTATGCTGACATTTCTCTATATAGGTGATCCTCTAATCCCCGCTCGCTAGGAGGTGATTTGATGAATTATATTGTAATTTATCAATTGTATCTCACCATGCTGGATATTTCGACGTCGCGCATAGTCAAGTGTAAGAATACATGTACAGCTGAGTAGATTCTATGGCTGCCTATTTGTCCTTGCATTAGTGTGATTGACAAATCGATCTAGATGGTACAAATGATCATTATTTTTCTCATGAGTAAAACAATAACCAACATAAGATGAAACTACACTATACGAACAGAATGCGTAAGCTATTTTTTAGTCACTCCTGTTAGCTCAATATCACTGAATCTATGTCGACCACTTTGTTGTATCGCGTAGAAGCAAATAAATACACACATGGCAGATTAAGTAGTTATTCCATTTCCAGTATGTAAATACAAACTTAGCCGTTCCGCGGGCCAGTGACCAAACAGGCAGGCGGGGTGTTACCAAAAGGAGTGTCGTCATGCTGACTGTCAACGAACCAATCATTGCGGATAGTTCAATACTGACTTCCGGTTCGCTGAAGTGGACTAACCTTGCAATAAGGTAAGTCGGTATGACGTCCGTCTGTCTGTGCGTGTGGTGGCGGGCCGCAAAGGTATTGTATTGTATTGCGTATAACTTTGCAAGCACTGTAGCTCACATTTCAGTTAAAAAATAATAACACATGCCAAACGCTGCAGTGTCATGTGATGTGCGGTGAACATTTCACTCGACTGCAGGCCACAATCCACTTCCGATCACAGGTAAAACTATTTTATCGAAAGGTTCATGAGATAGTCAATAAAACACTTATGAGATTCATTATAGAAACACAGGTAATCTATACGATTGCGTTCCCTGTCACCTACCATGCTAATGCTTTTAAAGTCTCTTTGAAATTCCGTTTCCACCACACCCGGATGCAGACTGACCACGGTGACATTGGTTCCCTCCAGGCGTTTGCTCAGTTCCACCGCATGCATCACATTGGCCAATTTCGAAGAGTTGTATACGGACAACTGACCATAGTTTTCTTCCGTTGGCTGCAAATCCGGTTTGTACAACTGGCCATAATAATGAACCATGGACGATACAATAATGATACGCGATGGTGCGCCGGCCGCTTTCAACGCGGGCAACATGAGTTCGGTGAGAAGAAAATGACCCAGATGATTCACACCGATTACCTGTTCGAATCCGTCTTTTGTGGTCGAGAATTTGTCCAATGACAAACCGGCATTGTTGATGAGATAGTGTATTTTTGGATATTTTTCCAACACTCGGGTTGCGAACTCTCGCACCGAGTCCAACGATCCGAGGTCCAATTGTTCAATAATCAACTATTGTCCATAACATATGTGTGTGTTTGTGGAGGGCGGAGGG